GTTTATTACAGAATGTGTGATACCACTGTATGTTTCGCTATGTACAAAGGAAACTACCTCTCTGTGAATTTTATCAATTAAAATTATCTTCTGTTGGCGACAAAACAATTGTCCAAAATCTTTCAGCACTCAAATAATACTTCTACCTGGTGAATTATTGAACATAATTGGATTTTATAAAGTTTTAATAATGAAAGAAAACATTTTGATACATAGTACACAACTGCTGAGTATTGTAACCATCTTTGACAAGCAGGAAATGATTGTTTTTTTACGCAGGCACTTTTACATTTCGAACACGGAGTGGTTATGGGCTTGCAAATTCATTTCTTAGCCAGGTCTTCGTTGCAATATTTCATTTTTACAGAAAGATGCCTTGCCAGATTACATTTTTACAGAAAGATACCTAGCCAGATTACATTTTTACAGGCTGCTGGAATGTATAATGGTTGAATAGAGATAATGAAATAAACACCAGTTTCTTCTCTGTTTCAATCACATCAAAATCAAAGCATTACATTTTTGTTCCTCGGGATACAATGTTATGTATCGCAAATGAAAAATATGCATTTCTAATATATTATATAATTCTAATATATATAGTATATTAGAAATGCATATTTTCATTCCCGATTTATCACGTTTATCAAACTTATATTCTCCTTTTATCTTAGCCTCATTTGTATCAATGAGGACAAACCTGAGTTGGTTCGTTCGCAAAAAGGTTTATTTGATGTTGTTTGACGCCACTCCCAACAGCAATAATGGCGGCGGTCTGTAAATCATCTAGTCTGGACCAGACAATCCAGTGATCAACAGCATGAGCATCGTTCTATGCAGTTGGGATACAATGACATGTGTTAAGCAAGTCAGCGAGCCTGATCACCCGATCCCTTTAGTCTCCTCTTACGACAAGCATGGGTTGCTGAAGAGCAACTCTAACATGGATCTACACTGGTCCCACACTGGTACTAGATATGTTTTTTACTGAGAAAATGAGTTCCCCAATAAAACAGTCGTTACATATGACCACTTTCTTCCAGGCATGTGACCGCTGAATCCGTGATAATTTACACTTCATACACATTCCTTAAGATTTAAGTATAGACTATGAGGTGCGTCAGACAAAGTCATCGAATCTGGAGAACAAACAACAAACATTTTGTAGGTCTGAAAATATGAAGCGGAGAAACATTATGTGACAACGGTAAGCTGTGCACATGTTTGGTGATATCTCAATACACATTGCTCCACATGGTCTGTGGACTCGCTTACGGTATGATTGCTACTTGCAAAAGAGTGTTCCCTCTGGGACTGCCAATGTGATGACGTCCTTTACTGTCATTGGTTAAATGCGATTTGTGAGTGTCTCTTAGATGATGGTAGCCTTGACATCTATCTCAAACACGAGGACACTGCCAATGATGACATATCTCTGAACATTGACAGCTGGATAACATTCATGTGTATCGTAGCCAAACATGTCAGCTCATAGACATAAACATATTTATTATATGGCGGGTAGATTTCCGCCCTGCTGATTGGCCCACTTGGTCACATGACAGCTTTGACGCTAAGTGATGTCAACGTCACCACGTCGCGAGAGGTTGATATAACAATCCAAGAACCTCCCGTGGCTAAAAATAGATTTGGGATATGCCAGCTGTGAACTCACGCTAGATAAGGAAGCGATAGGCATCGCTTCGTCCCTGTGACTGTGTTGGTTTAGAGTTACGACCCATCTGTATCGAAACGGCTGCACTTCCGGGTCATGTGCCAGGTACTCAGTACTTTTGTCATATTTATTAAACAATTGTTGACTTCAGTTCGGTTGATCCAATGATTTATCGACCTTGGTTATGTGATATTCAACTCGGCTTCGCTTCGGGGGCGGTGGGGTAGCCTAGTGGTTAAAGCATTCACTCGTCACGCCGAAGACCCGGGTTCGATTCCCCACATTGGCACACTGTGTGAAGCTCATTTCTGGTGTCCCCCGCCGTGATATTGCTCGAATATTGCTAAAAGCGGCGTAAAACCATACTCACTCACTCACTTCGCTCCGGTTAATTATCACATGTCCAAGGTCGATAAATCATTGGATCAGCCTCACTAGAAGTCAATATACACATTCCTTCAGATTTAAGTATAGACTATGAGGTGTGTCAGACAAAGTCATCGAATCTGGAGAACAAAAAACATTGATATAATTGTATAATATCAATCATTTATATACAGTTTTACAGTTTGTTTCCTTTCTGCTCACCCTGTTTGTTTTGTCATATTACATGTCTGTTGTCATTACCAATTATGTGTAATTTAATGAAATTGAATGTAATCATTGGGGCAATAATTTGTTTAGCATTCCATCTTCAAACATTAACATGTAATCTGCCGATGTTAAGTAGGTTATAACAACAACTGAATGAGATGGTCTGTCATGTATGAAATTCATTCTGACAGGTGGGCTGACCAACGCAACTCAAAGATTGAATCACAAACTTTCTTATGACAGGCTCTCACGTTTGTTTGCAACATGTTACCGTTGGCTGAGCGACTGCGATTACATTCGTCCTGTGATAAAAACTAAAACCTTGAGCCATCATGACGTGTTCTGTAATTTGCGTGTAATACGATCACGCCTGTTAGCTCCTTGGGTAATAGTTCAAACAAGCGCTGTCCACAAACACAATTATGACGTGGGCTGTCTCGCCAACATGCGGAGGAACCGGTTGCCTGTGGGAAACTTTACAAAGCTCAAGTGGATGAAACGTGTTAAGGACAAAGTTTTCAAAATGTTTTGGAAAGGGAATGGTCAACTTCTGATTTTAAATTGGAAACATTGTTAACAGTTTTCGATAAACGTAACAACTAATTCCTGTCTTCCAATGAATCTATTGAATCTACTGTCTTCTTATCTTCATAGTCATCAGTTTGGTCTAGTTGTTAAACTGTGATATGCCTGCATATTTATTAGGGAGAGAAATGCAGAGAATTTTCATATTGCGATATATTGCGATATATTACGATGCGAAAGCATACATTGCGATATGTATTGCAAGAATATTTTTCTAACAAAAAGCTATTTATAATCGAGTTAAAGCTTGATTTATAAAGCAAAAACTCAACAAAATCACTATGCTTGATAAAGCTTTAATAATACTTTTAATCATGACAAAATAAATAATATTTGGCACAAGTGAAACAAGGAAAAGAACAATTTAACATCAACACAGTGTTTACTAGTGTGAACTAGTTTCTCCACTCTCATAAAAAAAGCCCTGAGATTTTAGACAGCAACTTGACCTGGTCAGGACATATCAGAGATCACTGGTCATTAATGAGTGAATATTTCAAACTTTCAGATCCAAAACATTGCGAAACACTTGAGCAACAATTAAGAACACAACTTCAAACCGAATTTAACTTGACTTCAGGTGTGAAAAACGGAAATATCCGAAGATTTCCGAGTGTTACGAAGTTTTCCGAATGCATGTCGAAGTACCGGTTTTCGATCAGCGTATCACAATCCGTATCAATTTCATGTCTGAACCGGTACATACCGGTAAACCGGTTATATTGCGCAGCCCTAATATTTATTATACTTTGCCGACAGAAGTTTTAAAATGATCACCTTGATTTCATCGCTATGGCTGTAATATTGCCGACGCGATATAAAATTTAAACTCACTCACTCACTCGCTTCCAGAACAGCCACATTTGGAGCTGTGAAGCCTCCACCAGGAACATAACAATGCGATGTATTCTGGATAGCTGGTGCATATGAGAGTATAAGCTGAAGCTTTTCTATAAGTGGTATTCAGTAGCCCATGCTTGTAAGAGGCGGCAAACTGGAGCAGGTGGTTAGACTCTCTGACTTATGACAGGGACTTGCGTGGATCGATGCTTATAATGTCAATCACTGGACTGTGTTTCGGGTGACCAAGTGACCTTTGCATGTCTTTATGACGGGGGCCACTGTTTGGGCTGGATTGGATATTTCCCGAAACACGTGACCTGCCCTCCGCACTTCAGAATTCCAACTGGAATATTATTACGGTCACACAGTACTGAATGTCCATGTTACCAGAGGTGAGGTGAAATTGGGTTTAACGTCGTGCTTGAGAATATTTCGCTCATATGACGACGTGCATGCGTGTGTATGTGTATGCGCGGCTGCTTGTACTAGCCCAGACTGAAGCTGGTTTTATAGTGCTAGCCCACTGAGATACCATGCCGCAGTGAAGCATGAATACCCCACTCAGACACATTATACTGACTCCAAGCCGACCAGTCCTTGTTGTACCCATTAATGCCGAGCGCCAGGCAGGGACCAACAAGTACCATATTTTAACGTCTTTTGGAATGACGCGGCCGGGGATCGAACCCGCGACCTTCCGGCTCTCCGGGCGGACGCTCTAACCACTACACCACGGAGGCGGTCCATGTTACCAGACACGTTGTGTATACCGGGTGTATGAACTTCACTCATTATAACTAAGAGATGGACACAAAGCCTGGTATATTTGAACCATTAACAAGGCTTGTTTATTCGTGAAGATGTTAAGGTCTTCATGCGTACTAATATAATAAAACGCGGACCATGGTATCAAGTAATATTCGGACCACCATTCCGGCTCTTCAACATACAAAGGTGAACATCCGTAAGAAATACGTTACATCTGTTTTCAGTAAAGGTGGAGACCTCGCGGTCGATATCAGTGCGACCGTCTCTTATGAAGTCCATTTCAGAACCAAAACAGGCGTTTCCATCCCACGTACTTCCATAGTTCTTTCCAAGAGATTGTATTAAATACAGCCATCGTTATTTCCAGGCAAACGAGTTGGACGAATATAACACAACTAAATCAGGATCTGCAGAAGATAATTTAAATCAGATAATGTCGTCAGATTCAGCGTCTAAAATGTCAACGGAAAAATGTTTTATTAACGGTTCGTAAAGCCGCACCAACTCAACCAGCTCTCGGATCTGCATGGCGTTGATAATGTCAGTACTGGACTTATCCGATCCCCGATATACATTATTGGATTATTGGACCCCTCGCAGTTGTCTCCATTTGATAAAAGGGTCACCTAAAACCATGTTTACATATTTCCCGTCTGGATTAGCCAACAACGTCCCCAAAGCTAAGCCGCATATGTTCCATTGTCTTCAGTCGCAGTGTCTTCCAAACGGAAGCTCTAAGCTGTGGCGAATGCTGTTGATAACTGTCCGTATGTAGGCCATTGATATAACGTCGCCTTGCGACATGCGGCCTTAGATGTGAACCCGATGCAGGTTTTAATGTTTTTAGAATTTATCTTATTTATAGAGGATACTAAACGACCTTCCGTGTAATACCATTTGTATTAAACGAGTTAATGATTTGATGTATTTTGATACTAAATCGTTCATGAGTTTAATAAAAAGATAATGGTATTTCACGGAAGCGAGTTATGTATTCTGTTTATTACTCTCCAACATACATTGATAGAAACTGCATACAGTGTGATGACTCTGAGCTTTCTGGTGACTTTCAGCTTTCTAGCAAGGCCTTATAACATTGTGACGTCATAACTGTAAGCCATTTTGACGTCATACGCCTAGCGGTATTACACAAGTGTAATATTGCCGTAAAAATATTACACTGCAGTATCTTCCACGGACGAGTAATAAGTAACTTTTATCACATACCATCCCTGCTTGGTCACCAGATTCGAGTCTAATTATACAGCTCGGTTGTCTCGTTTCCATACGCATGTTTCTTTCGTTAAAAGAAAACGTGGACATGGTGAAACTCTGTTGAAGATTCAGTAAAAACACAGATGGTGATAACGGAACGCAAAATTCATTCGTCATTTAACAAATTATGCCCAGCACGAAGGATGCTCTTTCTGTAAATAAACTTTGTTCCACTCGAGACATTAAGTTGATGTGAAACATAGGAGGCTCGCTTGATATGCTATATATAGGTACAATCTTCCCGCTGTTGAAGTGTGAATTGCAGCGATAACATTTATCTTACAGTGATCTGCACAATGTCTGTTGGCGGAGTGGTACATTTTTGTCCAGTTGACTTCGTCAATGTTGGTGACATAGAAATTCAGCCAAATGTCACCACGCAAATAGCATTCAAACTTGTTATATGTGAAACATTGTGAACTGAGGTAAAACCTTCGTGTTTAAGAAGATTTGGTCTGCTTGAATGCGTGTGCGTGTGCGTTTATGTGTGCGCGCGTGTGTGTGTGTCTGCTTGTACTGGCTCGGAATGTTGATCATATGGTGCTTGTCCAAAGCGACTGAATTCAATTTAGATACCATCTCAGCCACGTTATACTGAATTTCAGTCACTGAATCCTGACTTTATATTCTGCAGAACAGGCAGAAAAAACAACAAGTACCTTTATAGTGCCTGATGCGTGCATCACACCATCGAACCTCGGCTCGTGGGACCTGTTATGTTACGAGACAGCCATGCATACTCGTTCTAATAACGGTCATCTAGATGGTTGGGTTGGTTGGTTTTATAGTTTTAGGGCGACGTGGGCCAATAAGAAGCCTATTTGCGCAAAACACATTGACTTGATTTAATAAACAATCATAGGTAATTTCATCGCCAAAAGAAATCGTTTAGTTAAGATAAAAGAAACGACAACACTATCAATTTGGATAGATGTATACGTATGTCGAATAACCTCTCCTTTGTGTTACGGATTAAAAACCTTAAGTAATCACTTCCATTTCTGAAACATGAAATACTCATTCATTAAAAAAGCAGTAGGTTCAGATGACAGAGTGTTAAAATGATTTAAAACCACAGAACTAAATCTGTCTAAGTCATTCAAGAGCCTGTCTAGAGTACATCATATTTTCCAGATGACGAGACAAAATCTAAAACTGCCCGTTGCACAGACCCTTACATGATATTTGGGCCCAAAACTGTTTCTAATGATAATACATCATCAACCTCAAGTACAGCACTTCTGAGGTTATGTCTTATGTTGTTATGCTTAGGGCATGTAATAGATAATGTTCGATGTTTTCAGACGTCTCCAAATTGCAATGGCCACATTTAGAAGAGACCGTCTTATCTATAATACTCCTGTAAGCATTTAGCCCGATTTGTATGACCAGATTTTAGTGATGGTCTAAGTTTGTACATATGTCGGCCGGTAGTACTTGTTTCCCACAACTGTTGCCAACTCCTTGTAACAGATTTCGATAAAACATTTTCAAAATCTTTAGGGATTGGTTGAAATTTTAACAGAAAACTGTAACCCGGATTTGGCCAACTTATCTGCAATCTCATTCCCATGTATTCCAACATGTGCTGGGACCCACACAATGTCGCATGCAATGTACATCATGTTTAAAAATGTATCCAACTTTAATATCTCATGAACAATGTCATTTTTAGATCCATTTGCACCAGCTTCTATAGCTGTGATTGCTGCCATGGAATCTGTAAAGATAATTGCTTCATGGTCATGTTCATCTACCCATCTCAATGCTTGCAAAATGAACAAAAGTTCAGCTGAAAATACAGAAAGATAATCAGGGAATCTGAACACATTAGCGGTCGATAAATTGGGTATCCAAAAAGCCCCAGCAGTACGATCATTGGATGGTTCTTTCGATGCATCAGTGTATATATTTGTGAAATTAGAATAATTTTCAGACAGAAAGTGTTGAGTTATCACTTTTATTATGTTTTGGTTCATTCTCTTATTCACGATTAAATTGAGTTCAGAATTCAATCCAGGCTTCAGCAGAAGCCACGGAGGTGTGACAGGCGGAGCAGAAGGATCAACTGGGCTACAGTTGTAAATATCATGTTGATCAGCTAATCTCTGAATATTCAAGCCAAAGGGTAATTTGCCATGAGTCCAGTCACACATGACAGATTCCACACAGTCATTAACAATCTCAGTGACTGCATGGTTTTTGTTCTTGGTTTTCATTTTTAAGAAATATTTCAAAGATACTTGTTGTCTTTGAAGGTGATGGGGCATTTCTGAACACTCAACTTGAAGCGCTGAGGTTGTAGTTATACAATATGCCCCAGTGCATATTCTCAAAGCTTTAGACTGAATTCTATCAAGCTTATTACGATGACATTTAGCCGCCGACATATACACCTGACAACCATAGTCAAGTCTGGACAAGATAAGGGCCTTGTACAGCAATAACATAGTTGACTTTTCAGCACCCCACTTTGTTTTTGAAATACACTTTAATAGATTGATGATCCTGTTACATGTGTTATACAAATGTGTGATGTGATGAGACCATGTTAATCTTTGATCAAAATACACACCAAGCAATTTGAACACTGACACCATTTCCAGTTTATGGTGTCCAAGAGTTAAATTGATATCATGAGGGATCTTACGTCTTGTGATCATCATTACCACTGATTTTGATTTTGAAATCTTAAACCCCCATTTTGAACACCATGTACTGACTTTACTTAAGCAGTTTTCTATAGATTCTATGACAAACTGAAAATTACCAAAGCGTCTCCAAAACGATCCGTAATCAGCAAACTGTGCTGCATTTATGTTTAGAGGCAGGTCCTCGAAAATGTCATTGATCATAATATTAAATAAAACTGGACTTATTACACTTCCTTGTGGGGTACCATTTTCAATCATATGCACGCCTGACAGTTCTTGACATATGCGAACTTGAATGGTTCTTTCGGACAAAAATGACCATTTCGACTTGAACATGTTGCCTCTAATTCCAAGTTTCTGCAATTTAAAAAGCAAACCATTTCTCCAAATCATGTCATAAGCCTTTTCGATATCAAGGAATACACACAACATGTATTCCTGGTTGCATAAAGCCTTCTGTGCTTCAGTTTCCAGATGAACATGCTGATCTATACATGAACGCCCCTTTCTGAATCCTGACTGGATGTGGTTAAGAAGCTCATTTCGTTCAAGATAATAGTTCAGGCGATTAGTAACTATTCTCGCCATGATTTTACATAAATTAGAAGTGAGAGCAATCGGTCTATATGATGCAGGAAGCAATGGATCTTTTCCTGGTTTGGGCACTGGAACTATTATTGCATGTCTCCATGTCCTAGGCAAGGATCCAGAACACCAACTTAAGCTCAACAGTTCCCGAATAACAGCTAGAGTAGAATCTGGCATATGCTTAAACATTTCATAGCACAACTCATCCGCACCTGGTGCCGAATTATGTATTCTTGATATGGCTGCCTTCATGAGTTCATCATGAGTGATAGCTGTATTGATTTCCAAGCTACTTTCCAACATGGCAGAAGACATTTCAGGCATAAAGTTTGTTTCAAAGACTTGTTTATATTCTCTGAATTCATGACAATAATTTTCAGAACTGCTAACAGATTGAAATTGTTAAACAAGAGCATTTACTTTCTGACTTTTTTTATACGTGTTCTCCAGCTTCTCCCATTACCGGTATCGGTGAACGAATATTATTTCCACCGATCGTTTTCACCTTGGACCAGATACTAGTTAATGATGTAAATCTATTAATATTAGAAATATATTCCCTCCAGCTCAATCGTTTTGTACTCCGTGCAATACGTTGGAACGTAGCTCGTTTCTTACGAAAATCAGCCAAATCACATGGCAATGACGAGTGGCGAACCTTATTATATGCCTTTTTCCTTGCGATATTCGCTTTTTCACAGCTGTCATTCCACCAGGACTTTGGCGGGAATGCCGCTTTCTTAACAGACGATTTTCCAATGGACTCTTCTGAAATTCTTATTAATTGTGTTGTGATATTTTCATTAGACATATTAACATCACCAATTATATGATCGGATGTGATATGTTCAGTACACAGACTAGAAAAAAGTGCCCAATTAGCCTTCTTGAATTTCCACCGAGGGACATTATCACAAGAATCACGATATGGTCGAACCTGAATTTCAGTAAAAAAAGGAAAATGGTCACTACCTAACGCATCTTCCTGAAATACATCCCAGTTACACTTATTGACTATGTGTGATGATATCATTGATAGATCTATAGGAGAAAAAGTCCATTTGCCAAGATCCATGCGGGTGATTTTACCATCGTTTTAAACGACAAGCTCTGCTTCATCTAAAAATTGTTCAACAATCTGACCATTATAATCCGTCTTGTTGCTTCCCCAAAAGATATTATGGCAGTTAAAGTCCCCACATATAAAATATGGGCCTCCATCGGGATCAATTAATTTCAGATATTCATCTACGTTTGCCCTACCTGTATTATACATAATAACAATAGTAATGGCTTACCTGTATTATACATAATAACAATAGTAATGGCTTTTTCTTCCTCATAATGAATTTTTACTGCGTTAGCCTCATACATTGTATTTGGAAATTCTTGAACTTGATACGACAAATCAGTCTTAATAAATATAACACAACCACCTCTCCGAGGATTTTTAGTAACGGTCATCTAGAACATACACACCGAGTTACTTCCCTTTGGTTGGGACTGGTTATTACCCGGAATACTTCACATGGTCACCGAATAACAGTAGAAAGTATTATTCCTGTGAACATTTGATGATAAAACGACAAAACAACATAGAAAACTATTAAAACATGAACTACTCGTACACACTTGAAGCACCTATGTGGTCATACCTTAGTAGAAAGTGGGTACCCGGTGGTATAAGCCATATGACTATTAACCTTCTAGCGCCTTACAGGCAGCTTGGGTTATCCGGGGTAATATTTAATGTCCATCATTTTGCATGCGCTTAGAGCATGTCCCACAAACCGAAACATGAGTCTCATTAACCAATTCAGACAATGACCTACTTTTCAGCCTATCCGAATTTTCTCGTGTAAAAGTGAAAAGAGACACTACAAACAACTATGGTCACACTGAATTCCAATTCCTTGTTTCATAAGGAAATAGTATTTACAAATTAATGTTAATTTTAAAGTTTAAAAAACTCGTATTTCTATATTTTAGGTCGAGGTTTAGACAGCATGTCGTTAACTAAGACGTCACAGATTGCCCCTGTTTGACGAGGTCGTACAATGATTCACAATTCACCTGGCTACCTGGTTACACCTGTTATGTGTTCTGTACGCTTATTAAATGCATGTTTGTAACGTACAATGTAATTTATATAATATTAAGTCCGTACCAGACCGCCAAACTTTCCTAGCGGCCAAGCCTCGTTTTGAGATGTTCACGATTTCCATTTGTCAGAGCATGCTGTACGACGGAGCACGCTGTACGACATATTTGCAAGGACTAGAAGGAGCGTAGTGTTGCAATATACAAGTAATTAGATGTATCAAATAATGCTGATTAATATGTATGTATCCAGTTGAATGAGTTGGTCTCAAATTCTGGACTGGTTATTGTACTAAGTTGCGCAATAGGACGGAACCCAGTCAGCAGGAAACGAGACTTCTGTGTAATCAATGTTTTGACTTGCAGCGTGGAGTTCAGCGCTATATCAGTGGGCAATTATTATTATTAATTGTTATAAAAGGGACGACGCTCTGTCAACTGGAGCTGGGAGTCCCATGTACGCAAGAATCTGTTCACATACATAAACGACTAGCACAAGCAAATACCAATGGTTAGAAATGTTCCTGCTCAAACTGACAACACTGCCGATACCTCCTTGAAGAGTTGTAAAAAGAAACAGATTCTCTTACACTGCGGCATTTCCGCTAATATTGGAGTTAGTAGCGTGATGCGGATCTTAGACGTTTGTGTATTGACAATAAAATACAAGAATGACGATAAGACACAAATCGTAAGCTGGCAGCCTAGAACGTTAGAGCTTTCAATTTATTAAAGACTTGTTATGAACACTAATCGTTGCTAAATCAACGATCGACTTTGTGGCGAAGGTACATTAAGCTCAATGTCGTCATCGGCGAATTCTCAGGATGGTAAGTAATGAATGAAAGTTATTATATGAACACATGTGGTATATATACTGGACAAATATAGTAAGGGACATATGAAAATTTTGAAATTATGAATTATGATCAATTCATTCTGATGACACTGATGACATATCAATCATTAAAATACAAATATTTTGTGTCCAGTATAAATATAGTTGGTGGATGATATATATATTGTGACCTACACATAACAAATCAGGGTTTGACTGCCGCGAATGAAATGATAGCATGCAAAGACAAATGATTGAAAGTATGGTATCGATGGCATAAGCAACTGATCCTGGGGTTCACAAGAAAGCTAATATGGTTTTATTATTAAGGCCACTAAACGTCGACGAAAGACGTATGGAAGATCATTCCACATCTGAGGAAGGATTTGGCGTCGTTCCTGCAGCATTATTGAAGGATTTGGATGACGTCGTAAACGTCGCACCATTTCACCAAGGACTTGTTTAGTGGGTCATAAATCAGGGGATCTTGCGGACCAGGGCAACGTATCACCATTTCTCTTATTAAGATACTGCTGTACAATTCGAGCAACTTAGCGTTATGGCGTTAAAACGTCACTTCAGTGCTGTTCTGTTGCAAACACGGTTTCACCCAGTTACAAACATAGGCGTCGTTGCCGCACCTGTTGTCCATCCCAGATCATAACGTTCCCACGTCCAATATGATCACCTTTCAGCACCCACAGCGGTGGCGTTCACCTGAGCGACTATAAGTACCTGCCCCAGCTTGATGAAGAAGGAAACGTCACTCATAGGTGAAGAAACCTCTTCTCCACTCACGTGTTCCCTATCGTAAGTGTCGTCCGCTCCACTGGAGATGTTGACGTCCTTCTGTTGGGTGGGGCGTCTTACTTAAACGGTTCTAGCAGATGCGCAAGGTATGGAACGGAATGTAATGGTTGCTGGCTAGAAACTGGGTAGGGTGTGCGTGGTTCGAATCCCGACTGCGGGGTACAAGGCTGAAGCCTTCCATATGGCTCACCATTCGTCAGCTTTTTCTGAGGACTGGCATGACGAACCTGTTCCACAACGATGAATGTGTTTTTGCTGACTTCTTCTCTTTATAACAGTGCATTGACTGGAAATGATGTGCATCTAGCTGTTACGCCTTTTAAAGTAAACAATTTTTGGTGTACATATATATACAGAGGGAGGGAGACACACACACACACACACACAGAAAGAGAGAAAGAGATATATTTAATGTCGTGGTGCGTATTCTATTCCAAACTTGTATGTATGTATGTATGTATGTATGTATGTATGTATGTATGTATGTATGTATGTATGTATGTATGTATGTATGTATGTATGTATGTATGTATGTATGTATGTATGTATGTATGTATGTATGTATGTATGTATGTATGTTGTATTTTCAAACATGTATAACTCGTCCACAAATAGACTTTAGTACATGAATTTTTACATCAGTTTAGAACAAGGACATGTCTATACAACCAAGTGGATTATTATAACTTGTTTTAATTTTAAAACTAATTATTTTGCAAAGGCCATGTTATACACTTTGATGTGTATTGTTACACAGAGGCATTACTATCATATCATTGAAAAATAGTGAATTTAATTATAGTGTACACCTGGTCCTTTTACAATATTATTCCCGGTTAACATTTCGTCTTGGGAATCTACATGTAAGTCTACGAAGACCTAAACCCGAATATTCATTGACCGCTTTCTAAATGGTGTTGTGTGGTCTGGTAATATCGGTGTTCCATGTTATTTGGTGGTGCATGTATGCATATAGCCTTTATTTAACAGCAGATGATAGCTCAATGGAGGCAACTTTACTTGTGAATATGGATGGTCGATGGGATAGCCTAGTGGTTAAAACGTTCGCTCATCACGCCGAAGACCCGGGTTCGATTCCCCACATGGGTACCATGTGTGAAGGCCATTCTGCTGTCCCCTTCTGTAATATCACTGGAATATTGCTAAAGGCAGAGTACAACTAAGCCCACTCACTGTGAATATACCTCAGCATTAAATTTCTACTGCTGGCTTATAAGTGTAATTACAAATTGCTCAGAATTCCATAGTAATAACTTCAGATATTCAGATTTTAACCTTTGGCATTTATCACGAGCAACTTATACCCTGAACACATGCTAATTGATTGGAGAGATGTATGGCTGGTTTAATGAATATGAGTGTCCATGATCTGAGCGCAGCGATGTATGTATTTATGTATGTATGTATGTATGTATGTATGTATGTATGTATGTATGTATGTATGTATGTATGTATGTATGTATGTATGTATGTATGTATGTATGTATGTATGTATGTATGTATGTATGTATGTATGTATGTATGTATGTGTGCGGGCATGCATACATGTATGTATGTATGTATGTATGTATGTATGTATGTATGTATGTATGTATGTATGTATGTATGTATGTATGTATGTATGTATGTATGTATGTATGTATGTATGTATGTATGTATGTATGTAAACTATCCCCCAAAAAGAAACGCGTAGGCCAGAATTCTGGCTACCTATTCTCGAAACTTATGCATGTATGTATGCATGTCTGAATGTGTATGTATGCGCGCATGCGTATGCATGTATGCATGTATTAATGCGTATGTATGTATGTATGTATGTATGTATGTATGTATGTATGTATGTATGTATGTATGTATGTATGTATGTATGTATGTATGCATGTATGTATGCATGTATGTGTGTGTATTATTATGTACATATAGTTTTGTGTATCCGAGTGTGTGTGTATGTGTGCGCGCATGCGTATGTATGCATTTATTAATGTGTATGTGTGCATGCATGCATGTATGTATGTATGTATGCATGTATGTGTGTGTATTATTATGTACATATGTTTTTGTGTATCCGAGTGTGTGTGTGTGTATGTATGTATGTATTAATGTGTATGTATGTTTGTTTGTATGTTTGTTTGTATGTGTATTATTATGTACATATGTTTTTGTGTATCCGAGTGTGTGTGTGTGTATGTATGTATGTATGTATTAATGTGTATGTATGTTTGTTTGTATGTATGCATGTATGTATGTATGTTTGTATGTATGTGTATTATTATGTACATATATTTTTGTGTATCCGAGTGTGTGTGCGCGCGCGTGTGTGTGTAGATGAATGGATAATAACGATAAATTAATTCATAAAAACCGAGAATAAAATACGTCGATATTTCAGTAGTGCAAATGAGAATACTAAAACACACTGATATTTACGTAATTTAAAACATTTCACAGGCTCTGATGATCACATTTCATATCATATTACTGAACCAGAGGCATGTTGACCTTTGAAATGCAAGAACATCTGTACTGTGTATTGTGTAGCTTCAATCAGATTTAAACATATTTCACCAGACAGCACTGGGCACAGCATGGTGTTTGCACTCTTTTTACTAAATGTCATTGTTCAAAGTGTTTGGTTTGCTCGTCAGATCAACATATTAATGGAAATTGTGTATATTTCAACAAGCATACGAAATCAGGCGCGGTTTAATGGGTAGAAAGATCGCTTGTAGAGCGGGAGATCGACGGGCCCATACCAGGCAGCGTCAAGAGATGGCAGTTGGTTTTACCTTGTCTGTCCAAGCCGTCAGAGGACAGACACTGGTCAGTTCAAGGTCAATATACTATGTCCGAGTCGGAGCAATGGCAGTTTACGGAGATCGTAATATGAAATGTAGGTAGAAATCGGGCGGTGAAATCCCGTGATAGGACACATGCTCCGTAGGCGTATGTAAGAAGCGGGTTAGGCCGAGCAGACCCGAAGGCTCTACCTAGAGACTACTTAGAAGATCCGACGTGTATTTAAAGTGATTAGGTATTCACAGATCCTGCTAATCATAAATAGAAGCAAGGGAAACAGACATGTATTTATTGTCGAAGACATTGAACGAAATCTGAGAAGATCGCCCGCTGTGGCCGAGGTAACTAGCATGCAAAGTTGTTGCCCTGTGGCACGATGGTGAGGTACACCGATGGTGAGGTACACCGATGGTGAGGTACACCGATGGGTAAGTACACCGACATGCGCAGATGGGTAGCGTATCGGGGTCGTTACGCTAGGATCTTCTGCGCATGTGCGTTCCATTTCACCATACTTCCTCGGTGGTAAAGCAAACACATTTATAGTTCCAATTATAGAGAGTTTGTCGTCTTGTTTGCACCACATGCATACAGAACGATGTGACGACAAGGGAACATATTTCTTCTTCCATGGTCATTTTGTTGTAAGAATGATCAGCTTTATGTATTTCTTCTTTCAATCTGAGACAAGAGATATTCGTTATTACTATAGCTCATGTAATAACTGTACTGAAATAACCCAACGCGATGTCCTACTGGGAGGGTACGGATTCGTTCTGGTCGTTGTCCTGAGCTCCTGAGCCAAAGCATCTCTAAACCAAGCCGTCACTCTGCCAGGCAGCCGGGTCACACAGTCACACACACCCTGGGAACACTATCACCAGATCGTAGCCCTATCCTTAATGTACGTCTGTACACGTTAGTCACAACCTGCCCAGACACTTGCCAGACATTTGATGCACCAACACGTCATTATGGCTACATCATCATTTCACCTTTACCACGCCGATGACCGTCCATGATATTGGTCACACCCTGGCATGTCGTGGCATATTGCCTAATTCTGGGGCACTAGCCACACACGGGTCATTTCCCGGACACGCCCCTTACGCGTTTGGTCCAAACTGGCCAGATACCTTTCACGTCCTGGTCATACACTGACCTCGTCCAGAACACTGTCCGTTTCATACCCAAACCACAGTGAGTAGAATTATGTCAAAACCACGCAATATAACCATAAACACTCACACAACTCTTGGTCCTCATCAATCAAATCTCACATGGCACATGGCAAACATGCCTCTGGTTATGGCGAAATAGTTTCAAAGAATACATCTTTGTCTCAACGCCACATGTGTAGGAAAGTAGGAAATTAACTTGGATCACGCGTATGTCCATGTGCGTTCACACTTTACTTAATCCCGAACGATGTCAGGTTCCTTTAGTACGCTTCCTCCACTTTCAAATTGTTGCAAACTGACACAATACGAAGATGTTGGTCCAAGAAATTTTGAAACAGTAACGGTCTCTTTTTTCCTTGTGCCACACACCTTTCGCCTGTACTCTGAGTCACACACTTTCACTAGGTCTGAACACGGAGTTTCGCTTTTTCCCTTAGGCTGGACACGAGTGTCACTGTGTTGCTATTATCCACACCCTACACACTACTGTCCCAAGTGCAGATGCCTCACACCTTAGTTCCCTCCGTTGTCTGGGACACCGGAGCATACACCTGGCAACGTCTACATCCACCTCCAAAAACACCCTTCCGAAAATTAGCACTGAAGGCGAAAAATAAGAAAAACTTCACATAAAAATTGATGAAAGATACCTGCTCAAAAATCAACAGGATAAAACTTAGTAACATGGAACTATTTTGTGTACAACCTAGAATATCCACCGTGAGCGCGTACAACCTGACGCTGTGGACGGGAATGTTGAGCAGCAGGTAGGTGAGGGAAAGAGCAAAGAGCATCTTGGCCACACGGACCTGAGGGCAGCTTGACGACGTTCTCTGATTCTCCCTCGTTGTCCTCTTTCTCCTCTTCCTCAGGGATGTAACGATAGCACAGACTATAGCCACCAACATAAACATCATTGCAAGGAACGGCAACAACAGCGTCAGAACAGTATCTACAAGGGTGAATATTTTCATAAAAGTTCCCCAACTCGGTTTTGGTTGACACGTGGGGACGTTGGAATAAGCATTTGTGGCAACGTGGGTTGAGAATATATAAAACATATAGATCACCAGCGCGGCTACCAGTAACGATATAACAACTCCACGTGCTCGGGTGAGAGTGCAAAGAGTCCTGATCCTCATCGGATGACATATAGTGATGTAGTTCTCTACTGTAATACACACCATAAACCATACGGACAGGAAACTAAACACATACTGGAAGTACACATACAACTGGCATATCCCTGGTTTGTGGGTGAATTTGTACCCCAGCGTTTCCAACCACTGAAACGACATCGTCAACAACAATCCGATGTCGGCCGACAGCACAGACAGCACGTACACACTCGAGGACAGCTTCCGTAGATCCTTGCCGGCGAACACCAGGATCGACACAATGTTGGCTACCAGGCCAACAAATACGTCAGTTGGAGTGACGTATTTAATAAACATGCTAGCGACTGTCTGAAACACGTTATCACTGTTCGGGAAGTCGTAGTAAGAAATGTTGTCGGTGACGTTGGGGTTGTCCGTAGAGATGTCGTCAGTCGGGCAGTCGACACAGGAAGATGTCGACGTCTCCATCGTTAAAAGCTGAGCGCCAAGTACTCTAAACAAAGAAAAATGTTGTCATTGAATATATATTTCATACAACCTTTTAAAAACAACTTTCAAACAAGTACAATATTTAAAATCATATTTAGGAAAATGTTATTGTTGCGATAACCCAATCCAATAAATAGTACATTACAATATGCAGCTGAAGTCAAATAGCAGAAACTACTTTCGATCTTCCTCCGTCGATCTCTGCGTTCTCAATAGACTGTTGCCTAACGATCCTACCAGATTCACATCAAGGTTGTACAAGCATCGTTGCAAATCACATGGCACAACATGAACATTGTGGTGTTTCACTCAAATAATGTATCATTAAGCAGTTTATAAAATGTGCTTCACTGAACGAAATGACCTCCACATCAGCAATGATTTCGACAAATAACATCATATGGTAATGCGAATATTACCTTTGAGCGTTTCGCTATCATATATGTGAAACATTACGAATACGGTATTTCTGTTATGCTTGCCCATGGCGCAATGCACCTTTTGTTCATTTGATATTAATGATACTGAAATCACGGTTGACATGCTCGTCTGAGCTCGTATTTAATTAGTGTGGAAACAACACCATTCGGTAGCGCAGTATCAAATAACAGAGAAATTTCAGGGTAAGCCTTGTCAGGTAACACTGCAGTGAAAGGTGATATTGTCACAGCTCAGTCACTGAATGACGGTAACAATGGTCTTACTTTCAGAAGATGTTTCTGTCACCTTCTTCATGAAGATATAACCCAAATTGACGTAAACATACTGGGGATAGAGCACCTTAAATAGGTTTAATTGCAAGCTGCAGGCTAACAATGAGATTAGAGTCACATAAACATAAAACAAAATCTTACTCAATGGTCCTATTCGTTGGTGTTTTCTTGGTGGTGACGGTACTGGATAAACCGACGACAGTCTTTGAACACCGTTGTCACACTCTCGACAACTACGTATAAAGGCTTGAGAACCTTTCACTGAGCATTAGGTATCCTTGACTCATTCCGTTCCTTGTATGTAGCATCAAACAAATAGCATTGATTTTGCTTTCAAAGATTCACATTAGCAGGCGTGTCGTCCTATTGATCACATCGTTGTCTACAACACTCCCATTCAGTACATGTGAACACAACACGATGTAAGATGTTTACACCCCCTTCAAACAAACATCTAGTCTCCTCATTTGTCAAATATGGTCGATGATTCAAGGTTACTTACAATAAATGTCCTTCATTTATCACAAAAGATGCTCCATCCTTCAAATGAATTAGCGGAGTTATCGATGCACAAACATCCGATTTGGTGAATACGTTTTCCACTGAGATTAATGGTAAGGGTAAAACCAACACGTCTTCAGCCGAACGTCTTTAACTGTCAAAAGGGTTTGAAGTGATCGTTCTTGCTTCAAGTAAATATTGCTGTCGGAGAGTAGTTCTCTTCAACATTTGACACCAGTATCAAGTGTTTGGAGACTCAGCGGTTTCTGAGTTCTTGTCACTGAATGACCGTGGGAGTCGAGGTAGTTACAATACCCCTTAGTCATAACAGAAGTTGTGGTAACTGTCGACACACCTTCCACACAGGAGCATCACACACCGACAACCACGCTTGTACTCTTAGCCCGTGGATAATTGCATTGATCAGAGGCGTACGTTCGTTGCAGTGAGCCAGTGCCTCACATCGACCAGGCTTTACAGCGTCGTCTCACACCCTGCAATAAAGTGACAAACTTGTAAACATTTATAGTGACTGGCGGTACAATTAACATAATGTCCAGACACGAGCCCAATATTGTACCGGACCAATGGGGAGGGATGCGGCCTAGCGAAGGACAGGGCGACATCGGTTGGCGGTGATGCTACTGTGGGAAATGGCAGGTAACTAATTCTTAGTAGGTCTCTCGTGTTGAAAACAGTTAATTCAATTAGGTGTATAACGATTTAGGCGTAGTGGTATTACATACAAGTGCCCGACAGTGTCCGGTGTGTAATAAGACGATCCAGAGAATTACTTTTCAAAGGCTGGTAGTGTTCATTAGTAGTTTGTGTCACGCTTCATTTGATATAGTTATGGAAGCGGTGGTATGTGCATGTGCATGTCCATGTGCACGTATGTGCGTGCGTGTGTGGAGGGAGGTAGTGGTTGAGGGGAATAAAAATGCATGAAGAAGAAATATAGCAAAAAAAACATCCAAAAGAACAATGTCATGCTAAATGTACATTATGCATATATTCTGAAATAAACACATCTATGTTTAACATAAGATTGCAAGGCCAACGCAAGGAGAAACTTAATTTTACTTGACCATGAAGTCGCTTTTGCGACATTTGGAGATACTTCTTGTTTAGAAATCTGAAGAAAACTGGCAGACCGTTTTGTACACATTACGTCAACTGATACTGCTGTAACCTCGGTATTTCGGACTCCTTCTGTACGGAGCCCCGTCAGCTGGGACGCCGAGACCAAAAGACGCCCGATGAATCACAATTTCGATTTGTGCCTCATTTTTTTCAGATTAAATATGTCTCCGCAAATACGTTGGAACATCACTATTTGATAGCAATTGACAAACACAGGATAATGTTACAATCGACTAAGCTTTAAGCAGACATTCTTAAGTGTGTGGAATGGTTTTCGCGCTATTATTTATCACATATTATGATATTTGTGTCAACGAAAGGCACAGCGACGGTTGCGTTCAATATGACACTTACATATGGATGTGCATGCACATAAATGAAGGGTTGTATTTATCCTGACTGATGTAAATAATGTAGTGCTATCTTATTGAGTTACAATGCCGCAGACCGCCTCCGTTGGTGTAGTGGTTAGAGCGTCCGCCGGAGAGCGGAAGGTCGCGGGTTCGATCCCCGACCGCGTCATACCAAAAGACGTTTAACTATGGTACTTGTTGGTCCCTGCCTGGCGCTCGGCATTAATGGGTACATCAAGGACTGGTCGGCTCGGAGTCAGTATAATGTGTCTGAGTGGGGTATTCATGCTTCACTGCGGCATGGTATCTCAGTGGGCTAGCACTTTAAAACCAGCTTCAGTCTGGGCTAGTACAAGCAGCCGCACATACACATACACACGCATGCACGTCGTCATATGAGCGAAATATTCTCAAGCACGACGTTAAACCCAATTTCACCTCACCTACAATGCCGCATTTTAGATAGACTTCCTTGACTTGAATTGTGGCCTTCAACATGACTTCATCTCCCCCTAAAACTCTCTACAACAATCCGACTTGTAAGTGCATCAGTTAAAAATGACTCACAGCTGAGTGAGTGAGTGAGTGAGTGAGTGATGTGGGAGTAAAGTCAGAAGTCTTGTAGTCCTTAGACATTTTTTCATAGGACGAATGAATAACTTAATTTCACACAGAGGCTTAATTTGTCTTTAAGCGCTGATACCGATGAAGATCCGGGTTAGAATTGATCTCCAGTAACCCATGCTTGTCGTAAGAGGCGACTAACCGGATCGGGTGGTCATTCTCGCTGACTTGGCTGACACATGTCATCGGTTCCCAATTGCATAGATCGATGTTCATGGATTGTTCGCCAGACCGCCGCCATATAGCTGGAATATTGCTGAGTGCAGCGTAAAATAAACTCACTCACCCACTTTAAGTGTTGACGGCTGATGGGGGCAAACGCACACTTATCACCTCGTGTATACTGTTGTTTACATGATATCTACTGAAAATGATTCAAACCTCGTCAGTACGAGGGAATATAGAATACTTGCCAAATAGCCTGAGGTCAGATTCAGATTTGAGGCATCAGGTTTTGTGAGAGGCCTGGCACTGCGTATGGTATTTTTAACAGGTAACACTATCTTCGACACACAGTTCAGATAACCAATGTTCCTTTGTATTCACATCAACCAAGTTACGGTTTGTAACCTTACTCCATGGGTCTAATCAAAGGAAACAGCAGAATATAACAAATAGATATAATGCGTTTACAGAAGGAAACAAACAGACTCTTCTGTGGGAACATTCACGGGACGGAAGACACTTGTCAGACATCCGATTCGATGGGTCAAATCCATCTGTTACGTTTCCAAAACATCGTAGCCGTAATTGAGTTAAGGATAATTGAAAAGGCGTACAGCACCGTTCGAGTTCTTCAAAATCAGACCTTGACAAACCGTTGCTAAACACGCTACCTTGCACAAAACCCGTAACTTTCAATCCTCAAGAATCAATGTCGGAAAGTAAACATTCCAAGTCGACTGAAAGCACATTTTTCCTCTGACAAAAGCAACACCTTTCTATGGGTTTATTCTAAAGTTTCCTTGACAGTGACGACGGTGAAGTCTTTGACCTGAATGGCGGTCAACGGCTGAATCAAAAGCCAAGGATCTATTTACAGGACGTCATCTGACCATTAGATTGTTAAACGGCCTGAAACAACATTCATTTGCCGGACAGATTCTGCTCGGACCATCGGATTATAAAACGTTTTAAACCAGCTAACAAAAGAGGGCAACGTTCAACGCACCGGAAACCTAATATACATTGATTGTAACAAAGTGGCCTACTCGATCGATCGATCGTGGAACCCGTGCAGTTGCCAGTTGCTCGCAAGCAGAAGCGTCGGTCCTGTTTCTTAAAGGGTTAGACAGCCTACTCGAGCGGTATAGGAGAGGATGGACGTTATGAGCTCTGTATGATCCCGCGATATTGGCAGCGCTGATAACTGAAACTGGATGGAATTGTTTATTGAGGAGATCTATGGTTGCTTGTCTATCTCTAAGCAGTATCAAACACTGTATTTGAACACGAGCGATAAGACGTCTACTCTCCAGCACGGACAATAACCCCATGGGGTTTTCCGCGGATTCTCCACGAATATATAAACATCTATGCACAACGAGGTAATTGCGAATGAAGGGATATCCCTCACCGTATATCTGCAGATATTTCGAGAGGGAATTGAACACATAAAAGTTAAAGCAATACAGAGGAAGATTTCCAATTAAAGATAAAAGCTTCTGGTGTCCTTAACTTTAATACAATCAAATATACGTTGGACGTGAACTGTTATACGTCTCAAGGCCTTTTAATGGGAAACTGGAGAACCTGTCTCAATCTGGCAAGACAATGCTTCCAGTGAGAATCAGTTACCCCAGAATCTCCAGATAGAAACTTTCCAAATGAACCGTACTTTTTCGGATTAAAAAGCCTTCAGCAATAATTTTATACAGAAGGGTTCTTTTCAAAATAATATGAAAAAAGTCACAATTGAATAACCGTCTGAAAAATGCTTTCGGGATTGGAAAAAGATTGGAATAAATGTAAGTGGTGCCGTCTTTCATAATGATCTGTCCAATGGAAATTGAAGAAAAGATGCTACTTTCAGTCATTAGAAACTACCAATCCGGCAATGTTATATCTGTCACCACGGAATTGACATCTTTTTTATGCAAAATGTAATTTCCTGAAATATGAGATCTTCTGATATTTAAGCCAAACAGATGAGGTACAAGAGAGCGGTGGTGAATAAGATGCTCCTGTTTGTCTATCCGCCCGTGGCAGTCCCCACAAAAAGAAGCTTCCGGGAGGAAATTATTTAAACTTCAGCGCACGGATATTCGATTTTAAGGATTCCCAAAGGTCGTTCCTAGGCCGAACATAATAGCGAGAAGATTATTAATCTACTTAACCGATTGCCCCTTTGGTACCTTCACAGACCGGCCATTATTGGTACAGAGCTGTAGTGTGTAGACAATTATCGAGTGATATTGGGCAATCTGCGGATGAATTATACATGTAGAAGGCTAGAGGTGGCTTATGACATTCATGATCCTGTCAAATATTCTGCCAGTGAAACTTTGTTATCAGCATATGACGACCTCCGGAGCCAATTGAGAAAATGTCAAAACGCAAGTCTAGTGGGTGTGTTATTACCATGTAACTTTGAGTGTGTACTTATACTGATCCTTCAACAAATATGAGTCTCTCAACACCAGAGTGGAAATCTGAATCTATGGATCGTAAGTGTGCTGTAAAAATGTAGGTGTACGGGCCCTCAGTAAAATGTAGTTTACGGTAACGTCTTCTTTTAGTGGCATTTTAGTAGCTGGGAAGTATGGATAACAACTTCTCTATTTCGTGATTGTGACGTTTCGATACAGATTCCTGTGCCGTTGTCCTGCTTGACAACGGTAGCGGAATCTGTACCGAAACATCGCACTCACGAAATGAAGAAGCTGTTATTCATAACGTTTGTCTATCTTGTGCGGTCAACTCTGTACACATGTAGGTCTACGGATATTTAGTAGAAATGTGATTCTACGGCACCTCATATAAGTAAAGATGTAGGTCTATGGACATTCAGTAAAAATGTGATTCTACGGCACCTCATATAAGTAAAGATGCAGGTCTACGGATATTTAGTAGAAATGTGATTCTACGGCACCTCATATAAGTAAAGATGTAGGTCTACGGATATTTAGTAAAAAATGTGATTCTACGGCACCTCATATAAGTAAAGATGTAGGTCTATGGACATTCAGTAAAAATGTGATTCTACGGCACCTCATATAAGTAAAGATGCAGGTCTACGGATATTTAGTAGAAATGTGATTCTACGGCACCTCATATAAGTAAAGATGTAGGTCTACGGATATTTAGTAGAAATGTGATTCTACGGCACCTCATATAAGTAAAGATGTAGGTCTATGGACATTCAGTAAAAATGTGATTCTACGGCACCTCATATAAGTAAAGATGCAGGTCTACGGATATTTAGTAGAAATGTGATTCTACGGCACCTCATATAAGTAGAGATGTAGGTCTACGGATATTTAGTAGAAATGTTATTCTACGGCACCACATATAAGTAAAGATGTAGGTCTACGGACATTCAGTAAAAATGTGATTCTACGGCACCTCATATAAGTAAAGATGCAGGTCTACGGATATTTAGTAGAAATGTGATTCTACGGCACCTCATATAAGTAAAGATGTAGGTCTACGGATATTTAGTAGAAATGTGATTCTACGGCACCTCATATAAGTAAAGATGTAGGTCTACGGATATTTAGTAGAAATGTGACTCTACGGCACCTCATATAAGTAAAGATGTAGGTCTACGGATATTTAGTAGAAATGTGACTCTACGGCACCTCATATAAGTAAAGATGTAGGTCTACGGACATTCAGTAAAAATGTGACTCTACGACACCTCATATAAGTAAAGATGTAGATCTACGGACATTCAGTAGAAATGTGAGTCAACGGACCCTGTTATAAGTAAAGATGTAGGTCTACGGACATTTAGTGAAAATTTGGCTCTACGGCACCTGATGTAAACACGTAGGTCTACGGACATTCAGTAGAAATGTGAGTCGACGGACCCTGATATAAGTAAAGGTGCAGGTCTACGGACATTCAACAAAAATTTGAGTCAACGGACCCTGTTATAAGTAAAGGTGTAGGTCTACGGACATTCAGTAAAAATGTGAGTCAACGGACCCTGATATAAGTAAAGGTGTAGGTCTACGGACATTCAGTAAAAATTTGAGTCAACGGACCCTGATATAAGTAAAGGTGTAGGTCTACGGACATTCAGTAAAAATGTGAGTCAACGGCACCTGATATAAGTAAAGATGTAGGTCTACGGACATTCGGTAAAATGTGAGTTTATGACCTCCTACGCAATCCAGCTGCTGGTAACAAACTTTGGTTAATAGCTCTTAATGATTCAGATTATTTCTATGACATATCCTACCTTATCCGTGTCGGCACTTTCGTTTAACAATCTAAAGAATGCTTATGTGGCACATATGCTTATGACATTGTAAAACATGTATTTCTCTTTTGTCCACAAACGGAATGTAACAAAGAGCGACTATTTAGCTCCCTCATTGATCTATTTGGTGTTACAACCTTTGTGAGTGTTTGGAATGATGATGATGATGCACTGATTAGTTTTCTACTTGGAAGAGTGCCAAATGATAACATTAGAGATCTTGATACTGATCTATAGATTCAATGTATGAAAATCACGAGTAAAGCTGATCATGAATGGAAATGGTTTTTCATCATATGTTACTAGATTCCCACCCCCAACCCCCCATATATACATAATTATCTTTAAATGTTTTTGTATTATATAACTTTCATACACTTGTACTTTGTAAAATGTAATATCTGCTAAATCATGCATATGTATCTTCAATTTTGGAGGAAATAAAGACGAGCTACCCTTAGTAAAAATATGAGTCTTCACACTCAGTGTAAGCTTAGGCAACTACTAAGAATATACAAGTCTACCGACATTCAGTGTAAGTTCACACAACTACAATGAATATGTAGGTCTACGGACACTCGGTAGAAATGTGAGTCTGCGGTCACCTCTGTAAACATATAGGTCAACGTACATGTACGTCAAATGTCGTACGGCCACGGAGCGGTAACGACTGGTAACGGATATTGATTTCAGCATGTGCTTTACTGTAACGGACACTCATTGCTTAAACAGTGTGCACACACACACACACACACACACACACACACACACACACACACACACACACACACACACACACACACACACACACACACACACACATACATACATACATACATATATATACATATAATGTCACGCGAAAATAGGGCAAGCTACCTTTAAAAACTTACCTTCATTTTGCTTCAGGCGTGTGGAGGCCTCGACTGGAGACATGACAATCGCTCTACACACCGTTTCTTTCTCTCTCTCTCTCTCTCTCTCTCTCTCTCTCTCTCTCTCTCTCTCTCTCTCTCTCTCTCTCTCTCTCTCTCTCTCTAGCAACGAATACCGACTTTTTTAATGTTATCTCCTGTGACCAACGTCGTCACGTCGAAGACAGTTCGGGTTCGATTCCCTACATGTGAAGCCAATGTCCCTTGTCGCGACATTGCTGGAATATTGCAGAGGCTCTTACGGACAACATATATTGACAACCTATATGTTTTACTCTCACATCAACTTATCTGCTTAAACTGTCTTAGTTAAAACATTATACGGTGATACGTCCCTAACTATTAGAAACACCAATATAGAATTAAACAAAGGTACCCTGTTTATGTAGGGAGGACTTCTATAAATCCTTCCCGTTATTCTTTCTGCCACAGGAAGCACTGTAATTGGTACACACATCACGCTAAATATATATTGGTTTATTGAGGCTCCAGTAGAAATCTGCTCATCACCATTCCAACGCAATCAGGTCTAATGGCAGATACCAACAGATGAACTGAAATAGGGCTTGTGGAAGTGGGTCCGCGTCCCCAGCGACAAAGGTCGTGAAGGCTTGCTCAGAATGCATGCCTCTGATTATTGGGCATATCATTATTGGGAAGAGACCAGATTAATTCATCAAACCTCGTCCTTTGCTGGTGTCCTCTGATCGGCTGTTAGCCAAATCTGAACGGAAAATGATCCCTGACCAAATCAATAATGAAGTTGGATTAATTTGATATTACTTTAATCATTTCATGCACAATTATCGGACATGGTAGGAATGGGCGACCGGCGTTGTGACAGTCCACCAGACATGATCACTAATACCAGACGCAGCTACACCAATATCGCGGACTGTTGCAATTCTGTAATTTCGTTCAAAATATTGGTCCAACTGCTACGATATGACACTGAAATATTTTTATTTATAACATGAACAATGATGTGCCTTTCGCCTGCAAGGCTAAAGGAGAAAGGGTGACGCAGTCGACTACGAATACACAAAGCCATTTACGACGTGGTCAAACGTGCCAGTTATAATCGCCAGCAAATAAAACCAGCGATCTAGCCCACTCAGCCACTGATTTCTGATTTTGTGACCCAAAGGTTCAAATCCTGGATGGGACTCAACCCAATAAGTACTAGAATCTGAACTTTACTGAGAAAGTGGTATCCCTAATATAACTGGCACGTTTGACCACTTCGTAAATGGCATTGTGTATTCGTAGTCGACTGCGTCACACTTTCTCCAAAAATACTAGAATCTGTACTTTACTGAGAAAGTGGTATCCCGAATGTAACATATGTTGCAGTCGTCTATGTCTGTACAAGGATCCGGTTATCACCGGTTTGAATCTCAGATGACCACCAGGTTTGCCTGAACCATACCCGTACTCGACATGTTTTTTTGAAGTGGTAACCATATGAGACCTCGGGCTATCCTCCACATTTAGCTTCCACGCCATGATGTAATAACGTTAGAATGGATTTTACTCCCCAACTCGACTCTTTGAGGTCGGAGTGTCAAACTCATGACTATGTTGTGGCATGTCATTATAACCCAAGCCCTCTGAAGTGTAAATTGGCACGGCACCAACGGCAGGAAGCTATGAATACACAATGTCATTTAGGAAGAGGTCAAATGTAGAATATTATATAATTCCCCATCCGGGATTCGCAACAACTCACTTTTTAAACGTCATTATGTATTCATTTGATTCAGCCGTGGGTTTGGTCAAGAACTAGCGAACCCCGAACGTCAGGGTCGTTTTGGGGGTCCATACTATCAGTCCCTGTATTGTCTGGTCTTGTGCGCTTTAATATTTTCATTTTCACTTGCTATCGGTTTTCCAAGGTTAAACTATACACGGCGCACGCGACGTGGCATCCAGAACAAAGACACCAATCTGTTTCTGGATGTTATCCTACTCCGGTTCTGGATAAACAAGATAATAAACAGATTGGCGTCTTTGTTCTGGATGTCATAGACGTGTGATTCCCACATTGAGTGAATGAGTTTAGTTTTACGCCGCACTCAGCAATATTCCAGCTATATGGCGGCGGTCGATAAATAATCGAGACTGGACCAGACAATCCAGTGATCAACAGCACGTGCGGCGATCTACGCAATTGGGATACGATGACATGTGTGAACCAAGTAAGCGAGAATGACCACCCGATCCCGTTAGTCGCCTTTTACGACAAGCATGTGTTACTGAAGATCAATTCTAACCCTGATCTTCACGGGTCCACTTCCACCATTGAATGAGACACCACAGTATGACCGAAATTGAATCGTGTTAAATGCAGACTCCAAAATAGGTTATAAAACTACAATGGGTTACACTCCAGTAAGTCATACGCTCATTGACTGACTGACTGACTTAGTTTGGTTTTACGTCGCTTTCAGCAATATTCCAGCAACAACACGGCGGGGGACACCAGAAATGGGCTTCACACATTGTACCCATGTGGGGATTTGAACCCGGGTCTTCGGCGTGACGAGCGAACGCTTTAACCACTAGGCTAACCCACCACCCCCATACGCTCATTGATAAATTGAACTATACTCAACATATCTTCAGGCAGGAAATTGTTACCATCAACATGTCTTCCTCCTCCTCCTCATCATGGTGATGCCATCATGTCACCATCAAAATGTCCCTGTATTCAGTATCATCATCAAATATGATCATGCTATGATCATTATTAAACAAAAAGACTAGGTGTAATATGTTCATAGGATTACTTGTACCCGAATTTTAGCGCGAAATGTCATTCACACTGAATTAGAGATCCAAACGTGTTCATATTTCTACACTTTAAGCAATACAACGCTTTCTTCTTGAACCTTTAGAAAAGACATTCACCATTCATAAATTCGAAAACCCCTCGAAACGGATGGCACAGTACCGAATGGAATAGCCGTAATTAACCGAAATCTCCGGATTGACCTATAAGAAGCACGTGATGGCGATGCGTTAATTAGACACAATAGACCAGGCCTGGTGTCCAGAATCTCGACTTCCCGAGACGAGCTTAAACCCCTCAACAAAGCCTATCTCAGAAACAGCAACCGACTAAATTTAAATACCCAGCGTCACCTGAAGACGCTTCCTTTACACGTCTGTCTTCTGGACGAGAGGATCATCAGGCCAGATGTCCCTGTCTCATGGGACGGGGAGCTTTGACCCAAATAACGAAAACTGTCTCAAAGACAAACACAGGAACACTTCAGAATGTTCTATTCAATATGTGACCCACTGTTGGTTAGAGGAAACTGTGTATTTATAGATGTCAGCTTCAATATATTAGAAAACACAAAGCAGGGGAGCATATTCTTAGTCCTTCGTCAGGTTCTGATCCTTATACAGAAGTTACCATCCATGAATTTATCCTTCGTGAATCTCATGTCTAACAATGTCATGCAAAGACAGGGAGTTTAACCTTTGACAATAACACCACGACGTGCGTCCCAACGCGGATGTCACCGTGCCACGTTGTCAGACAAAACATCCTGATTTAACAGTTATCATCTTTCAAGATCAGGGGAAACTGTTTATGCACTACGTAATACAACCCGAGGGCAAGAGTCGCAGACAATATGTCGTTATCAACCTTCCGCGTGATGCCTGCAATATTTCAAGTACTTACATTACGGACAGGCAGCTCATGAATCATGATTTGAGGACAATCTGTTTAGTGTTATAGCCATAACTAAAGCCATTCATCACTGACCGGAGAGCCGCCAGACTATGCGATTTAACGTATTGGAATCAATGATGATAATAATAATTGGCGGGTCATTATTCAGAGGGTAGAATCGGGTTAACAGATAGCAGTCACGTCCGCCATCGACAGACCACCATTTGAAACAGGGTGTCTTGTTTTATTTGTTGTATATCACCGAATTCCAAGAATATAACGCAGTCTGTAAATAATCAGGTAAACCGACCTATGGTATTTGGACACGGTGGACCAGACAACCCGGTGATTGATATCATGAGTATTGATCAACGTAATTGGGATAGATATTACATGCATGAACCAAGTCATGGAACCGTGCCACCTGATTCCATTAGTTGCCTCTTGCGACCAGCATGGATTGCTGAAGACGGGTCGTGTGACTGAGTGAATAGAATTTTCGAATTGCATCACAGAATGTAAGCTTAATGTGG